TTGTCTATTACTCAATTAAAAAGCAAGCCAAATAAACTGCATCTCTACCTTAAGTCGGTCAACAGATACGCAAAAACAAATTCATGACAGTTATATCGAGATATTCGTGGAGGTTGTTTGCATCCAATACCGGAAATAACTGCTTGCTCTATATAAAACACTATTTATTTCAATACTATGCTGGTATTGGCCGTGAATGACCACTTAATGGCATGTGCAACTGGATCAACAAGAAAAGTATGAAAAGTTTCACTTTGTTTTTAAAGATTCATCAAGCTCTTTTCAAACAGTGGACTGTTGGCTATGTGCACTTGAATTCCAATCAGTGACAACTGATGTATCTACTCGCTACATTTAAGAAGAGGACCGTCACAAATAACGCAAAGTTAAACAGATATATTTATCCGCTTTCAAGGCGCGAACAAAAATCGCTGTTATAGCTGTCTTGATTGGAAATTCCATCATAATTATTTAGGTACGAAGGCTTTGGCAAATGCTTGGCCATCATAAATACATACATATAACCTGTATTCCTGTGATATACTTCACTCAAGGTTATGCCCCTGGCCACCTTGCCTCAGGTGTTGCAGTTGTATGTTTAATAAATATTATATTTATAGTTATTTTATCCATGATTTATGATAGAATGTTCATTGGTGAAATCTCCAAAAAGACATGAGAACGCAAAATCTCTGACAGTCCGGAGTGGTCATAGAAAGAGTATGCGTGACGTACATGACTAACAAACCATCAGTGATGCTAATACCAGGTACGAACGAATAGTCCAAGGCACGCTGGGTAACCGTTGATGACACGCTGAGATGCTGTTTTTTTAGATAAAAACTGCTGTCAGTCAGTCTAAGAGCAACGATTTAAAAATGCACGATCAACCAACCAACACGATTTCTAGTTGACCATTTTCAAATTAAATCTAAAAACAATGCGACTCCAATATAACCAGTCGGGCTGATTATTGACTTGTTGATATTTTGTGATTAAATTTTAAAAATAGCCGCCAGTCGTTAAGAAGTCAACGAAATAAAACCAAATCGACAGCATTGACCTCAATATGTCTGGAATCCAAAAATATACTACTAAAATATGAAACACACCAGAGAATAAGCTTGTTAGCTCATGTAAAAGAATTGAAATCACAATTACTCATCGTCTAACTCGAAGACAAACGTTATGTTGTATTATACTCTCCTCTCCAGAAATTACATGATGGGTGTGGCTCACAGATTATGGGCGAGGCCCACAACCATATTTTTTATACGGGTTGCACTTTTTCCTAAGCTGTACTCTTTTTAGATATCTGATGAATATTCATAAGAAAACGCATGCTAAAGGATTGTGATGCGTGTCATTTTGACTCAGAGCGCTGCATTGGAGCTGTTGGTTGAAATCAGTGAATCGTAGCACCTTTCAAAGCAATTGAAACGTAAGTTACCTGCTTTAATTGAAGTCAAGTCAAGCACCACACCAATATATTCTGTGTATTGTAACTAACTAGATTACGACTTTTGGACAACCCGTCACACACATTCGCAAATTTATTACGTTCGCGTCGCCCATTTATTGATTTCGCGTTTTACATATTGACAAAGATCCTGGTAACTGTGCAGTTTGAGTTTTTTAAGTGTACGTAATCGTCGTGGCGGCTATGTTGCACGATAAATGGCAGGACAATCGAATTTGTTAAATACGTGTCCCCTCATGCGTTAAATATGTGGTGCGGACATGACAATATTGACAGGATGCATGGAAGTTGTACTGTGCGTTAAATGACCAGCCAATATATACTCATCGTTCTACAACCTTAATGAAAAAGTGGACTAGCTAATACAAAAAACAAACAAACAAAAAACGGAACAAGTATTCACCGTATTACTCACGCCATATATGTGAATTTGCTGCCTCGAATTTATCTACATTTGCAAATAACACTCATACTGCATGTGTGACTGCATGCTGGTCTAATCTGTACTTCAATTATCCAGCAGATCCACAATGAGAAGTTACCTGATTCTGTTTGTCCTGTGCGTCGCCGTGGCTGTTGTGTACGCCGGTAATGATGATATTTATTTAATTACTTAACCTGCTTTGGAATGATAATGCACAAACAAACAGAAAAAAATGGCCAAACCTAGAAAAAAAGGAAAATTAGAAAAAAATAAAAAAATAAATAAAAAAACATTCATGATAGAAAATCACATAATTTGAAAGGTCATCAAGTGATATAATGTATTTTTTTTCTTTTTGACCAGACTATTTTTGAAGAGGGAAGACTATATGACCTATATTTATTTTCACATTTTACCTTCACCAGATATGTGCAAAAGAAGTTACGAATTGATGGTTTGTCGTTTTTAGAAGCACTGACATGTTCATCCATAAGCCCAAAATAGTCATATAGGGATTTCAACAATTAGGATTAAATTTCAACTGTGTTCTCGTATTGAATATATAATATTGTTTTTTTCCAGAAGAAGAAGTAGAAGAAAATACATCGGAAGCTCCAGTGCATACGCAAGAGCCGTCAGACGAGAAAACTACTATTGCAAGCGAGTCCACAACCAATGTTGCTGTTACCACCAAACTATCTGTGCTGTCTATTCTTTTAACAGCTATGCCTATTGTACTATTGTAACCTGCGTATTACAGTGCGAGCAACGGTCCACTTTGCTCGATGGGACAATGTGCGTGACGGATGTGTCACCTGGCCTCATGGACATTTAATTTTCACACTAAAAGCTGTCTTAAAAATACCTGTACATAATCTATTTTGTGTTTGTGACTACAATGTAATTAATGAGTTACAGCCGTAATGACCAATATCACAGTGATCCAAATCATGACGATTCAGAACGCAATTACCACCTGTCATTTGGCTTGGTTTGATGATGTCATCACCACATGACAACCAACACAGAATCTGATTGGAGCACTACTGATTTGATTTCCATTGTCCGAACAACAGGAAACTATGTACAGTATAAGAGATACATTTTAATTGTGTACTTCAATGAAAATAAAACATGATATTGTACAAAAAAACATCTTGTGCAGTTGGGTTTTTCAATTAGGTACACAGACACTTAACTGATATTCAAAAAAAACAACATCTGATTTCGTAAAAGTTGAGTAAATACGAAATTGTATTTTGAAAAAAGATGGTGTCATATGCTTTCAGTCTAACGACACGATATTATTCTAGGTATCTTCATGAACTTACAACTAATTACTTTGGTTCATATTCTGAAATGAAAGAAAATATTCTGTTATGGTAAGAAATTCTGAGAAAGCAGGCTGTTCGATATCTATAAAATGTCACTGTATCCTGTACATTTCAAGTTTTCCCACAAAAAAATATTCCATCGTATCGTAGCGAACAAATATAAATCCACTAGTATATACGTTAATTGACAAATTAATCTGAAATGACCTAACAGTTGTAATAGTTCCACTCTACTGCTTATTAGAAACTGCATTTTTTGAACTTTTTTGCAACAGGTTCAACTAAGACATGCCTCCATTTTTATTTACCAATTCACATCGTCTTACAATATGCAAATTAGATGTGACTCAAAAGGTCAAGAAACGTTTCTTCAATACACTACAATGAGCATTTTTACACATGGTACAAAAATGCACTTTTAATTTGTCGACATATTTTCATCGTCGACCAGGACAAATTTACATAATTTTAGAAAATAAATAACAACGACTACACAATCATGCTCACCACATACTCTTTGATTTGAATCGTATTTCATACCAGGAAGACCAGTTTTCACATTGTTGTTGGTGACAGAGACACATAATTGATACATAGCCAAATACGTAAGATATGTGTGTTTGTACGTTTTCACGAGCATGAACGCAGGCATCGTCGTGCGTATCTTTTTTTCTACCAACTGTTAACCCTGAAAGAGACATTTTCATGATTATTATTTTGACTCATCGTCAACAACACATCACCTCTCCAGACCACACATACATTTATTTTTTCCGGCAAATGCTATCCCTGTTGGTAAATTTTAAAGACGTGTGCCAGGTAGCAAAATATGCTATCTAGAACCAGCACAGAAATATTATCGATATGCCGTTTGATATGCTGGTACTGTTGTTAAAAACAGTCAGATTATATTTGTAATTTTAGCAGTATTCAAACTAATACTCATGAATATTCATAATTATAACAAAACGTATTTTTTTTAAAAAATATAACAGTAATCGGGTCGGACAACGTTCATTTTTTCTGTACTGTGTGTTAAATAGAACACTTTCGGTAACTAAGGATTATGTTAATTATTTGACGAAATGTGAAACACATAATATTTGCAGTGATCACATGATCACTACTGAATCCATGACGTCATGAGTAGCCCTTCTTCAAATCTGTAATAAATACTAGTAATAAAACGCAACTGAAAAAGCCGTATTTAAAAAACAACAACAGCAATGTAATTGTATCATACACATTGTATTTTGCATTTTTATAAATGAATTTTTACATTTCCAATGCATGGAAATGTTAGCTCAATGGATTCTACACATCACATATTGATCTGCTTATCAGATCTTACTAGCTCTATATGCAGCGATTAAAATATATCACTCATTAAATATTCTAACCTTACGAGTCTGTCATAAAAAGTATTGCTAAAAAAATGATTAACATAAATTATATGTCAGTGACATGTAAATGTAACAATGACATTTTATATTTGCATATGACGCATGTACCTGCTCCTTTTTTTGTAGAAAACGGCTTAGTCTTTTTCACGAAACAAAACGAAACCCTAACGCTAACCTTAAATTTTGAACGACTTCGAACATCGCCACGTCACAGAAATAAATTTGTCGAGAATATTTAGTTTCCACCTTTTTTCCGCCTACTTTGCAGCACGATTCATTTGTGCTGATATGTCGTGACAGCCGTTTTTGGATTGTTGAACACTAATGACGCTAATCATTTCGTGTTTCACAGTGTGAAATTTTCTCAGATATTATTAAGCTAATGAAAAAAAATGCGAGTTAGGGTTGGGTTAGGGTTAGGGTTAGGGTTTCGTTTCGTTTCGTGGAAAAGACTAAGCCGTAGATAACCACAAAGAAACAGAAAATTGCCTCTATTGTGCAGGACACACGTGAAAATTTATGTATAATCACGGGACCTTTGTTGCATTTTCTCAAAATCACATGTTTATAGTTAAGTCTGTAAAGTTGTCACAAGACGATTGGAGTTGCGAATATTCCACTAGAGTAAATCGTCTTTCAAAAGTGAATATGAATTCAAAGTTGCTTTCACCACTTGAATATGAGCAATGTCGGCTTCTGAATATTAATTAACCCAAGCCCAAAATACGATTAAGATAGCTGACTTAAACCACACGTCCACTACTACTATCCAATGGGTAGAAGTATGCCCTCTTTATCAATAACAACAGTGATTGTTTGGCTCCTTGTTTCCTTTAGTTACAATAAGAGATATTCATATACATATTGTCTGATGTGATTAGTGTTACATTACTTTTTTTGTGTATGACTGGATATGATTTTAAATGATATTTTAGTTGGAATGGAGACAAACACATGTAGAATATTTCCAAAGAACAAAGACTTCATTAAAAACTGAAAGATAAAAGCAATAACCCAAAAATATAATAGATGGGGTCAAACCAATGTAGCTGATCGAAATGATTTTTCTTGTAATTAGCTTCACACTTCGCGCAAAATTAATATCAAGTAGATCGGTTAAGACATTAAAGACACAAATTGTAGCAATTCTTTCCAAAAAATCCATGATTGTTATCAAACTTGCTTTGCTTTGCCCATACATGCTGTACACATGCTGTGCCCAACAGTGAAGCATATTTTTGGCAAAAATTCAAAATGGCCAAACCGCGTGACTTGAACAAAAAATCTGTCAAATCAAAAGCTTTGCAAAAATATAATGAAGCATACAACGAGGTAATTACCAAAAGTTTAGTATTGAAATATTTAAAATAGAATAGCGGTTTAAAACTGTTAGTTATCACTCTTTGGCTTACGATTTGAATAATTATTCAATATTGTATCCAAGTGCGTGGTAAATAGGTTAGATAAACAACTGGACGCAATACCACTATTTGTATCATAGAGATTTAAAAAAAATGTTTAAATGTTTAGAACTACAATTCTATGATGAAGGTAATTGTCCGACTCTGGGACTGAGTTAAAAACTACAGTGATAGAACTAAGTGAAAAAGATTCAGTAAACCGATTTATTACTAACTATCACAAAATGCAATATCGCTCTAATGTATGCCCCATAAAACTGATATCCTAATGTGTGGCTTGTGGGAATCCTGTCGACAGAGGGTGCTATACCATATGTGTCCTGCAATTACTGCTAATAGATCATACACTCCACTGTATGCTGTTCGTTCGTTTGATTTGAGTAGATTTATAGATTCAGACACTGTTGACATAATCCACGTAGCACAAGGTCACAGTAATTAAATATTTACAGGCAATGTCCACTCCAATGAAACACTATTAACAGGTTAAAAAAACCACACCACTTCTGAATATGACAATGTATATCAGCTTATTTGTAATCATATAAGACGGCGATCAGTTATGTTACAGTAGTATTTGCCAATCACCAAGCTGTACTTAAATAAACAACCACAAACTAACACTAGACGATATCATCGAACAACTGACTCGATGGAGCATGAAAATAAAGAAATCAGATGTGTCAATGAAGATCTTCAGAGACGAGTTGTTAAATTGGAAAGATCAGTAAAGGAAAAGAACCAATATAGTCGTCGTGAAAATATCAAGATTCATGGTATCCCTGAGAGTGCTGATCACAACCAGAAAACACAGATGTAATTACTCTTAAAGTGCTGCGAAAGATTGACCCTGAACTTACTGGAATGGATGTTGAAGTAACTCATCGTTTAGGAAAGAAACCAACTGAAAACTATCAGGCTTTTCCAAGACCCATAATTGTAAAATTTTCAGGCAGGAAGAAACGAGAAAGTATGTCCCGCAATAAAAAGAAGCTCGCAAATGTTACTGTTAGCAGCCTATGATTTCCAGGCCGGAATCTAATATACATAAATGAGAACCTAACACCTAATGCACGCAAGCTTCTGAAACTGGCCAATGCGAAGCGTAAACAGGTAAATTATAAATTCCTCTGGACTAGAAATGGACAGATATTTGTACGCAAGGCTGAGAATTCACAATCTCTTAACATAAAGAATGAGCATGATCTTGCAAAGATCGTGTAGTATTCCATATTCTTTTGTAGACATATATTCATAGATACATTTCAATGTTGGATGATAATGTAAATAACACTTGTTATGGTAATTGTAAATCTTATTCTTTTTCCCAGTTCTTTAATCTGATAGATAACACGCCTATTAAGTCTACCTTTTCAATTTCACATTGCAATATTCGGTCTCTCGGTCGAAATTTTCAAGATTTCAAATTATTCTACGAATCACACGGCGATCAGTGATGTTACAGTAGTATCGCCAATCACCAAGCTGTACTTATTAAATAAACAACCACAAACTAACACTAGACGATATCATCGAACAACTGACTCGATGGAGCATGAAAATAAAGAAATCAGATGTGTCAATGAAGATCTTCAGAGACGAGTTGTTGAATTGGAAAGATCAGTAGAGGAACAGAACCAATATAGTCGTCGTGAAAATATCGAGATTCATGGTATCCCTGAGAGTGCGGATACATCACAACCAGAAAACACAGATGTAATTACTCTTAAAGTGTTGCGAAAGATTGACCCTGAACTTACTGGAATGGATGTTGAAGTAACTCATCGTTTAGGAAAGAAACTAACTGAAAACTATCAGGCTTTTCCAAGACCCATAATTGTAAAATTTTCAGGCAGGAAGAAACGAGAAAGTATGTCCCGCAATAAAAAGAAGCTCGCAAATGTTACTGTTAGCAGCCTATGATTTCCAGGCCGGAATCTAATATACATAAATGAGAACCTAACACCTAATGCACGCAAGCTTCTGAAACTGGCC